AGACATTCAGAAAGAATTTATTAATTAAACGGATAAACATATTGCAGGTAACAGAAATCAATTTTGATGCAAAGAAGATCGTATACGTATAGGGTTAAGCTATTCAATATCACAATATAAAATCAACCCATATTCCGAAAGGCTAAATGTCATCACAGCAGTTCGCGTTAATTTTGCAATTATTTAAGAAACGTGATATTAATGTTTGTTATATTGATAGCATTTGTTGTTGTTACTATGACAATTAGTTGTTTCTTTACTAAAAGAACAACCTGAATCATCAAATTTAAACATGATGCATTAAGTTTGCAAAACTAAAGTGAAAGCTATATAAAATGACTATCGCGTCGCAGCGAGAATTTTACACAATAACACAGCGTTACTAGGGGACAGGAGATAATGATAATGTCGGATAGCCGGGCTGCGATCGGAGCGCTGAACTTTCAGTATCCTCCGCGGCAGTATGGGGCTGTCTTGAGAAGCTCAATTAGTCTGGCAGATGCAACCGGGTCTGACTGTGTTGGGTGTCGGGCCATGTGGGCGTGGAAGGAAATGAAGGCGCTGATGCGCTTGCAAGGAAGGAGCAAATACACCTCTTTTTGGGCCGGAGCCCTTCTGCGAAATCGGACAACATACGAAAGAAGACGGTCGGAGCGCTGGCAAAGCAGAGATTATGAGCAAAGCTCCTGCGAGATTATGACCAGAAGTGATTTAAGAAAATTATAGGGATGGGCAGAACCCAGGTGAGAGTCCTCACCGGCATTTTTACGGGACAATGCAGGCTTAGGGGACACCTCAGTCGGCTGGGCCTTGAAGATGAAGATATTTGCAGATTCTGTGGGGAGTATGGAGAGACCTCCGTGCACCTACTGAGAGAGTGTGATGCTCCTGCTCATATAAGGGGGGAGGCGCTGGGGGGCTTTGCTCTAACGGTGGCGGAGTTACGGTCTTCTGGTCCTCACAAGTTGCTTGAGTTCATCAGGAAGGTGGGTCTCGAGCGTGCGTTGGAGAACGTGCCCCGCACTCGAGTGGGGGCGCACAATAGATCCTTGTACCCTCGTTGTACAAATCTAAAATCTACAGCGTTACTTGACTTTATGAATATATCAACTTAAATCAAACTTATATGTCATTTTCTACTCTACAAAGTGATTATAAACCAAGTACTAGAAAATTTGCTACCCTATTCTAAAGGAATATTTGCCCATCTTCCATTCCCTTAAGGAGAATACAAGTCAAACAGTTTCAAAATAAAAATTGATTACTCTTTTTCATTTATATTTAATTTTATTTTATAAGCTTCCATCGCCATCACCAACCATTACTAAAACGCGTAAGATATGCCAATATTATTAAAATCAAAACTTTTTAATAATAATTTTTCATTCTTTCAGTTCATTTTCGAACTATCACAGGACGGTAACATTTTTTTTATGTTTATTTTCTTTTCATTTAAATTTTTTTTTTCGCTCTTTGTCTTTCTAGAAAATAAACAAAAAAAAAAGTCCGGAAGCATTAAAGTTTTTATCTAAATACTGGTTAAGAAAACTTTGAATGTCCAATGTTCAAAAAAGAAAAAGAGAAAAGACAAAGAGAGTTTGTAATAAGTTCCTGAAAACTATAGAACTTTTTGCATTTCAATTGCAATTTTTGTTTTAATTTGCAGAGTTGTATTTAAGGGTAATTAAATTTTGTTGCAGGTTGATAATAAAAATTTTTATTGCTAAAATATTGTAAACGTTTTATTTTAAGTACAAGGGGAGCTATTCAAATCTCTCAGGCAGCGAAAAGGCAGCATATATTTGCAATTATTATAGTAACTTTCAGCAATTTTTAAAAGAATTTTAAAGAATATTATTCCAAGTGATTTCAAAATTACTTAAAAAATTATAGTTTTTATTTATTTCATATTTGCGCAATAAATAAAAACTATAATTTCTGATTTTCAATAAAAATTTTCAATGTTCTGTCATCCGTCTGTCACTTACTAACAAGAAGATTTAATTACTGTTTTTCAAATTTATTTCAAAAGCAAATTGGTAAGATTTTTTATTTTACTAAGCGGTAAGTTAAAGAAATTTAAAATTTTTAACGACATCTATATATGAAAATATATCTTCTCGTCTTGTCCTCGTTAGTTATAATTTTTTTGTAAAAATTATTAAAATTCTAACATTCAGTCGCAAATGCAACGTCGAAACTATAAGTTTACCATTCTTATACTTACCAAGCGCGAGCATTTTATTAAAATTTGAATTATTTAGCTTTAGATGAACAGCAATTCTTTAGTTCAAAAATCTTTCTAAATTAAAATTTTGCAGCTCTAAACTTTAAAAAACGCTTTTTTAGAAAAATTTTAATTTACTTTTTTTGCAGATAATTTTGCAGATTTTTATGAAACGAATACCCTCAGATACTTCTTTAATAATTTCTATATAATTTGTATTTGAGAAATTTTATTTTTCATCAGAACTCTAAAAGGTTCTGGATCTGTTAGAATGAGTCAAAGAAAAATTCACATTGATGAGGAAATCAAATCTTTACAAATGAGCTGTTTTTTTTGAAAGTGGTGTAAGTCCATTTTCTCTTATATTATTAAAATATTTAAGGGTTTGCGTTTGAACCAATTTAAAAATATTGTTCATAATAACATAGTTTGCTTATTTTATATCCAAATAAAACTCGATTGAAATTGTGATTGCAACTGTGGAGAGAAGGTGCCCATAGCTCATCAAAGTTACCATTAACTTATTCTTTTTAAAAAGTGAACTTATACCATTTTCGAAAAAATCATCTTATATTTTTATTTAATCGAATTGCGTATTATTTTATAACCATTATTGAGAGCGTACACGTTAAAGTTTTACTAAAAATTTTAAATCGTGCAAAATAATCAAAATTCCTTGTTGGTTTTCGTATTTTCTTTGCCACTATTTTATGTAAATTTCATAGTCGTATATAAAATTTTTATTAAAAATTTACGGAAATCATTATTATAGAGAACATGAGGGAAACAACAAGAAAGAATTTTATATTAATTTTGCATAACTTATTATTTTTTTTTATAATCCGTACTTACAACAGCGTATATTGTAATATAACCCATATGATCTACATACATAGTTCCTTTTCATCCCTAAAAACGAACACGAAATTTTCTACTTTAAATCCTTGAAAATTTTCTTTCCCATCATTTCACTTGTATTTCAACAAATTTAAGCAAAATAAACATGTGTAAGTATTTTGATTGATAGACGAACATAAATGTCAGATAATTTTAGTTTTATGAATATTTTAATGACGGTAACAGTACCATCTTTAATGTTTTGACTCAATTTTTAAAAAAAAAACTTATTGCCAAAAAATTTTGAATAATAAAAAGAAAATTTCTGCCTTAAAATAAGGCAGAAATTTGTTTAAAAACTTAAAAAATAAATTTTCATAAATACATAATTAAAGTATTTATAAGCAAACATACACACATCTCTATATAATATTTATGTGTATATACATACATGCATACATATGTGTTTTGCCTTTCACATATTATTAATAATTATTATATTGTGTGTGTGTGTGTATGTATTTACAAATTTATGGCATAATGATCGATTTAGATTTTTTTCCTTTTATTTTTATAATGTTGATTTTTGCTCCTTGGTGAATTTTTATATTCAAAGTTTTTTACAAGAGTATTTACGACTTTTATTTTAAAGTTTTGAATATTTTTTTTTCCAATATTGTTGTTTGTTTTATCACCAACAGAGTGTGTAATTTTAAAAAACAAATTTCATTGATTTTGTTCCTATTGAACATATAAAATTCATATTACATAATTAAAGAAAAGAAGTTGCAAATTTATAGTATTAAAAAAAGAAAAAGGAAAACAATGTTCAGTTGTCGAAAATTTGGAAACTCTTAAAAATTAAGACGAATAAGTAATAAAATAAAGTTTTTGGTATTAGTACGCCAATTTTCACTTGAATCACACTGGTCTTTCGATTAAATTAGTAGGCAACTATTGAGCTGCTTATTACCCAGTTGCAATTCATCAGAACACTAAAACTGATAGAGCTCCTTTTTGATTAAGGAATGATAAAATATAATATACCTGGATTTAGAATCACTTATATTTCAATTTGTTGTAGGAACAGTAAAGAAGCTTTACAAAAGGAGAAATTTTATAAAAACAAGATACTAGAGCTTGGACTTATTAATCTGCTATTTAATCCCAATTTAATTTTTGGATGAAAATTTTCATGAAACAGAAAGTTGCTTTAACTAAATAACACAATTTCAGATAACGGAAGACCTAAACCTTGCTCGCAAAACCTTGTGAATATAGAATTATCAATACAATAACGTGTTGCCTTTATTCAAGTGAAACGCTCTGTTTTCCCAATTTTGAAAACATGAAATATTAAAAAAAAATTCATTATAGCCTTTTTCAGTTTCACAGTCAATGGTGGCAGTAAAAATGTAATCAATTTCTTTGCCAATTTATTTGAAATTTTTTTCTAAAATCCGCCCAATGAGTTTTGAGGTCACGAAAAATATTGCAAGCCTACCAATGGTTGACAGTTCCTACTGATCCTGGATTCATAAATTTATCAGCTCCTTAATTGTCTTCTATTGGATATCAGAATTGAATTTGTATTAAATTTGTTACAAAACGTTTGTCTTTTATCAAAAATACCATTAAAATAAAAGTACCTATATACTTGAATACTCGAGTATTACGAGCAAACACGAGAAAAGTAAAAGAAAAAAAAATGTAATTTTCAAAGTAAGAAGTTATTAGAAGTAATTTTTTTACGATATCAATATAAAAGTTTTTTTTTTGTTTTTCTTGCTTTTGTTCTCATTTTTCACGTTTTATTGATATAAATTGACTTACGACTTAAAGACTAACTGTATGGAACAGAGTTTTGTCGTTATTTCGTAAATTTTTTAATTTATTTTCATTTATTTTTGTTTTTTCATTTTTCGACTTTACTTACCTCTGGTTCAGCATTTAAAGCGTTATGGTGTGAACTACTTTGACGTGTTGATCGTTTCGATATATGTCTATGATGGAACAAGTAATAATGCTTAAGGCTGCCAATCTGAAATAATAAAAAAGAATAAAATAAATATTTTATATATGAACAATAAATGAAAATTTAATGCGATATTTTTTCATTAATTTACGAGCACAATATTTTTAATACAATATTGATATACGAGTATGTACAAAGACGAGTACGTCATTATACACAATAACATTATACACAAATACAATTACAGTATAAGAGATATGGTGGTGGAAAATTTTACGATGAAGGATGTTATAATGTCAAAAAGTTTTTATAAAAAAAAAGTATGTTTTATTTTTTCGTTTTTTTGTTCTCTATATAAAAATTTTGATCAATAGCTTTTTAGTTTCTTATATTATAACATTAAAAAATGAAAAATATTTTAGACGGTAAGTTTTTCTTTTTTCTTTAAACTTTGGTTTTGCCTCTTCATTTTATTAATTAAGATAAGAAAAATATTTTAAGAACTTTACGTTAAAGTAAATTTATTGCAGGGTTATAGTTTGATACAATATCAAGTTATATGGAAAAAAAATTAAATTTATTTGTTTGTCGGGTAACCAGTCGTTAATATGGGAATTCTGAATACTGGACTTCCAATTTCCAGAATATTAAAAATAAGTGCTAGAACAGTAATTTGCTTAATACGCTCAATTTTCCTCACAAATTAAATATTTCTGAGCTACTTCCAACAAAGTTATCAGAAATCAAAAGTAAACAAAAAAATGACTATTGCTCATTTTTTCCGATCAGAAATTCTCCGAAGATGAAATAAGAAAAATTAAAGACTGAATAATCACGCCCTATATTCACAAATTGATCATCATAATAGTTTCGATATTATAGATGGCGAAAACATACCCTAATAACATTTATAGCATCAAATTCTTTCTGAAACATAAAACGATTATATTTCTAAAGGTTAATTCTAAACCCGGATTTAAGTCTATAAAGAAGAATTTTTTTGACTAAGGTATTACTGCGTTGGTCTAAGATATTACCTCTAAAGGTACTATTGCAACTGTAGCAACGAACAAGATGCCGCAAATTATAAAATCGGCGTAGAACACACTAAGGTATGTTGCAATGAGCAAAAGTCAAAATTATAGCCATATAAAGGTTAATTTTCGTACAGTAATGTCCTTATTAGCTCGCTTAACAGGTTCATATTTTATAATAAAAAATTTAATGAACAAAATTTTGAAAAGTATAATTTAAGTTTTAGATTTTCCCTTATTAAGCTTTAATATTCAAAAAAAATATATTGAATTTGTTATACTTAAACCTACATCTTTAATTTAATACAAAACCAATTTTTTTTTCAAATAATTTAAATAAATTTTACACTTAATACATTTAATATTATTAAAAATTAATAATACTGCTGCATAATTCCTAATTTACATGGGTACATAATTAAATTACATGAAAACTAAATCGGACCAAAAAATAAATAATTTATTAATAAAAAAAATTTAAACTGAAAATTATAAATAGCTACTAAGTTCAATTGCAAAAATTTTATTACTAATTTTATAATTCTAATTTATTATTAATAATAATGTATGTAAATTAGTTCACATAAATATTTAATGTACATAATTTGCTTTGAATTCATACAAAAGCGTGAAAATTTTTTTTCCTTATTGCAATAGAATTTCAAATAATTGGAAATTTATCAAATAAAATTTTTATGGTTAGAATTTTGAATTAGGAAAATTTTATATAAAATATGTTATAATTATGCCCTTTGAATAGTGTTGCAGTTCGTTTATACTATTATTTTATTGCATTAAAAAAATAATCATCTACATATACATATATACATTAAAATATAAGTAATTTTTTAACAGAAAACTAACACTAGAAACGAAATGTCAAAATAAATTTCATGCTACTCGGCAAATATTTGTGTCCATCACTGTCTTTTAAAAAATTTTAACTTAAACCACAAAAAGAGCATTACTAAAATTGAAATTAGATTTAAATTTTATTTATGTATGTGTATGTGTACATTATAAATATTAAAATATACATAATGAACACATACATAAGTGCATTATTACCAAAAAAATTTTCTTGCCAAAATGGCGGCAATAATAAAAATATAACAATCTTTTAACAAATCTACATAAAAAAAATAATAAATTTTGTAAAAGTTTGCAAATCCGATTCCGTATATAAAAATTTCTACATTCTATTTGAAATACGAATATTAGAATTTGACATTACGTCATTTCCAATTAATATTGTCGCACATGACAAAAGCTTTCCTTAAGGGTACATTCTTTAGAAATTTTCGAAATTCTATAATAATTTTCGAAACTCTGTTGTAACTGTTTATATTTTAAGTTTCCATAAACTAGCATGATTTTAAGAACCTATGGTATCATACTGCGGTGCCAAAATTTTGAAATTACGATAAAATTTATTGTGAATTCGAAAAAAAACACTTATAGATAATCGTAACTAACAGGTTTAATTGTACAAATTATTTATTACAGTAAATGCCAGAACTCTATTTAAATTGGACATGATCGAGGCACTGGTTCGGGTAGCTGCTATATAACTTCAAAAGTTGTTGGGCTATATCTCAGAAACTGTAAAAGCTGTGGCGTTGAAATTTCACACAAACGAATATATTAGTTGGGCCGATATTTTTGATAAAATTCGTTGAAATTGCTTGGCTCTTTCTGGTAACTGCAATCACAACTTCAATAGTAGTTTGGTCATATTTTAGAAAATATTGAAGTTTCACAGTACTGAAATTTTGCTTAAATTAACATGGTAATACGGCAACTTAAAGTTATAATCAGTCCCATAGTCAGCTCTGACATATTTATTGGCACATATAGGATAGCACATTCGTGCGGGTATCACAGAGTTGACAAGGTGAACTCTATTTTTTCTCGTTTATCATAAATCAATATTGAAACTATGTACACGCGGCAATATATTGTGCATATTCTAACTAAACATGAGCTATAATTTCTGAAATTTGGAAGCTGTATATCGAACATATATTAAAACATTACGATTGCCATTGATTGTGATTCAATTATAATACTTGTACTGATAACAAAAATAAATATCATTCACAATAGAAAAATTTCGTATTTCATATTTAATTATATTTATTTTTTAAAAAATTACTATTGTTCGAAATATTCTGAAACAAAAAATTTAACTAATTTGAATTTAAATTTCATTTAATAATTAAATTTTAATGCAATTTCATTCTTAATTCTATTTTAATAATATTGAATTTTTTAATTTTAAACAAAATTGAAATTCTTATACACGCACATAGATTACTACATACATATTGTATATATATAAATATATATATATTACATTATTTGAAATATAAAATATTGAAAAATTTATGACACCCTACTTGAATATTAGAACAATATTAGTCTAAGTATAATTTTAGTCAGTACATATAATTATTATATTTTGTATATTCAAAAATCTGTACAAAAAAAAAGATTAATTATCCCTTTTAGAACCCGAAAAAAAATATTAAAAATAAGAACGAAAACACAGGAATAATTTCTGACATGAAGACAAAAAATAAAAGAGGGAGATATTCTATACTTATTCTTATGATCTTCTTCTTTTTCTTTATAATTTTTCTATATTTTATTACAATTTTTTAAATACTTCTTATGTCAAAAATTATTAATGACACAATAAATATCATAAACTCCTTAAAAATTTTTGGGGGAAAAAAAAAAGAAATTAAGATGAAAAATAATAACATATTCTACTCATACTTTTATCTTTAAAAAGATACCAAGTCTTATAAGAAAAGATGGCAAAAATAAAATTAATTTTATATTCTAGAATCTAGACTTAACACATAGCTACCAACATATAATAAAAAGGAGTTTCTTGAAAAGGGATCGGAAATTTTTGGGAAGGAAGAGGACATAAAATGTGTAATAATAAAGAGAATAAAAATGTTAAGGGAGTTTTTCTTTCATAATTTTCATTTACACTTTAATCAATTCTTCTACTTCTTCTCCTTTTCGCTTTCTAAATTTTGACCAGTTACATTTTTATTTACTTTGTGTTGTCAAAGTAATATAGCAGCTTTAAACTGTTGTAACAACAATATAAAAGACTCTACATGGATGGTCCGTCCTTAGACCAAAATATTGTTATGAATATTGTATGAAAGTAAGAAATTAAAAAAAAAATGAAAAATGAACTTTGAATAAATCTCGTCCCCCCCCCCAATCCCTCTCATTTCTAATTTATTTACAACATAGCTTTCTTTTTTGACTAGCAACATATCATATTTTTATTAATAAAATTAAATACATTTCATGAATTTTTTCCCTTAACTACAAAGAATTCCTCCAAGATTTGAAAAAATTTTTTGCAGTATCTTATGTTATTATTCTTTTATTGTCACTTTAAAAAATAAACTCAGCTTTCAATCTATATAGTAGAGAGTTAAGTATAGTAGCAATGATATAGCAGTTGATTGTGGTGGGGGAGGAGAAACCAGCCATATAACATGAAAAATTTAAAAATTAAAAATTTAAAAATAGAAGCAAAAATATCGTACATACTTCCTAAATAATTATGTGTAAATATTATTGATGATTCGTTATGTGTACACATATGAGTCTATTGAAACCTCGACTAGTTTGTAATTTGGGAATTCATAATATATACCTACACCATGCATAATATTTTATATACAGCGGGTTGAATAGTCAATCAGGAAACAACAATTCTTTAAAATTTCAATTTCAATCTTGTAAAATTATAAATAAATATTGAAAAATAGGATTTTAGCACTTTTATTAATCGAAGAGCTTAAGAATAAATGCATCATTTGCATAAAATAACCATTTTTTTTTTATTACAAAGTGAGTTACACCTATTAGACTTCTAAGCAATTCACACAATATGTTAAAAATTCACTTTTTTTTAAAATTTACTATACACTTCAAACTCAAGGTGATATGACTTTTTTTTTATGTAAAGTGAATATTAAGGAGTTGGTTTTCTTT